CATAACAACAATAACAAAGGTAACTAGAGACCTGAGGAAAACTTCCTTTGTTTTCATACTCATTGAATCTATACTTCTATGTGAGATGTTGGTCTATTCCTGGAAGATGAGATGTAGCAATGACCTTTATTCATTCGTCATACCTTTGTTGAGTACCTAGTAGGTACTGTGTATAAACTAATGGACAATACAGACATTGTTCCTGTGTATCATGGAGTCTGTATTTTAAAAGATACAATAAAAGAAAACACTGAATTGTCATGATGGAAGATTGTAAGTATATTTTTTTCTATGCTAAGTTCTTTTTGGAATATAATGGTTGTTGTTGTTACGTGTGCTTGAATCAGTTCTAGCCTAGAGTGACCTTAGCACAACACAATGAAACACTGCTCAGTTCTGTGCTAATCTCACAATGGTTTACACTTGAGTCCATTGCTGCTGCCACTATGCCAATCCATCTCCTTGGGATCTCCCTCTCTTTTGCTGACCCTCTGCTTCACCGAGCTTGATATCCTTCTCCAGGGCCTGGTCCCTCCTGATAATATGTCCGAAGTATGAGAGATGATGTCTGGTCATCTTGGTTTCTAAGGAATATTCTGGTTGTACTTATTCTACTGGCAGTCCATGGTACTTTTAATATTCTTCTCCAGCACCAGGACTCAAATGCATCAGTTCTTCTATGGTCTTCTTAATTCATTGTACAATTTCACATGCATATGAAGCTATTGAAAAATGCCATAGCTTGGGTCAGACGCACCTTAGTCTTCTGACTGATGTCTTTGCTCTTGAACATTTGTGCAGCAGATTTGCCCAATGTAATTTGATTTCTTGACTGCTGCTTCCATGAGTGTTGATGGTGGATCCAAGCAAAATGAAGTTTTCAACAACTTCAATTTTTTCCTCCATTTATCATGATGTTATTTACTGATACAGTTATTAAGATTTTTGTTTTCTTTACATTGAGATGCACCCCACACTGAAGGCTGTGGTCTTTGATCCTCATCAGTAAGTCAGTAGTGTAGATAAATAAAACTGATTTTACTGGCAGATTCAGATATCTTTGTGATTTAAGATATCATTGATGTTTATGAGCTCATCGTATGCTCAGTATCTTTTATGATTCCCATATTATGAGAGATAGTATACAGGTGGTTAAGAATATGGACCCTGTAGCCAGAATGACTGGGCTGAAACCCCAGCTTTACCACTTATGAACTGCAAGACCTTGGGGAAGTTTTGTAACCATCCTGCCTCCTAGTTCCCCATATGTAAAAGGGTTAATTGAATCACATTCATGTTTTTTTGAGACTATAAAACATGAAAATCATAGTATGTTAACTATTGTTGCTAACTATAGTTGCTTTATATCATGTGACACTAGATTTAATTAGTGACTCTTCACCAGAATTAATATAGATCATATGCCTCTTAGTTACATCTATTTCCTAAGATTTATTTTATTTTTATTGTTACTGAGAGTATACACAGCATAATATATACCAATTGAATTATTTCTACATGTTCAGTGCCATTGATGATAGTCTTCAAGTTGTACGTTCTTACCCTCCTTTTCCAAGTTATTCCTTCACTATTAACATAAACTCTCACTGCCCCTTAAGTTTCCCATCTCATCTTTCTAGTTGTTGTTGTGAGTTGGACCTCATATGTTGTTGTTGTTAAGTACCGTGGTGTCAGTTCCGACTCATAGTGACCCTGCACAGGGTTTCCGAGGCTGTAAATCTTTACGGGAGCAGAATGCCTCATCTTTCTCCCTAATGTTAAAAGAGCACAGTGTTCAAAGTGGATATTCTTTCTAGTTAAGTTAGAATGTCGTTTGGGTTTTAAGAAGACTTCAGGGAATATTTTTGGTGTAAGGTTTAAAAATTATCAATAATTTTAGAAGTTTAGTCAGTTTCCATGGCTCCAGAATATCTGGAGTCCATGAAAATTTGAAATTATGTTCAACATTTCCTCTTTTGAACAGAATCTTTGAAAAAAATGTTCAGTAATGGCTGTTGTTAAGTGTATTGTGTTAGTTCTGACTCATAGCGACCCTGTTTAGCTTTTCCAAGGAGTAGCTGGTGGGTTTGAACTACTGACTTTGCTGTTTACAGTCCAGTGCTACGCCAGTAAGGGCAGCCAGTCATTATCCAGTTCTAGTGTCATGACAAAGGAGTAATTGTGTTCATGGAGACAATTAGCCAAACATTTTATTTCCTCCTGCTGTTCCTGACTTTGCTCTTCCTCTGTTGCTCCAGATAGGAGAAACCAGATATCATGCCATGACTGGCTGCTTGCAAGCTTTTAAATTCCCAGGCAATACACAGCAGACTAGGAGGAATGCATGCATTAAACAAGGTATTAATCAAATTTACTGGAATGTCCAGTGAAACCATTACCTTAAACCTCCAAACCAAGGAACCAAATCCCATGAAGTGTTTGATTGTACATGAGCAGCCTCAGAAAATCATAGATCAGAGGTGGCTTACATGGTTTAGGTCTATTGGCTGTGGATCACTAAATCTACAATGAAAGACAGGCCTCCATTAATTAATTAGCCTGCTTTAATGTAGCAGTCATTCAAAAGTGTTTCTCTGCTATTCATAAGGTTTTCAGTGAACAAATATTCGGAAGTAGTTTGTTACTCCTTCCTAGTCTGTCTTTCTCTGGAAGCTCATCTGAAACCTGTCCACCATGGGTGACCCTGCTGGTATTTAAAATACTGGTGGCATACCTTACAGAATCACAGCAACTCACAAGCCACCACAGCAAAGTGGCAGCATCAATGGGCTCAAGCGTGGCAACAATTGTGAGGCTGGCCCAGTACTGGGCAGTGTTTCCTTCTGTTGTGCTTAGGGTCGCTATGGGTCAGTACTGACTTGATGGCACCTAACAACAACAACATTCAAAAGTGTGGACTATTGCAGCCCAGCAGGTCAGGAGGTCTTTGTTTAAGATAATGTTTTTACAACAGAAAACATACTGCTTTTTATTTTGAATGTGTCTCAACAAAACAATTGATTTTAGTATTTCATTAAATTTTGTGGGTTTTCACTGTATTTAATCCTGATTGGTACTTACACAAATAAACTATAGATTTTACCTTGATGTAATCAAGGGTTTGTTGTTATCTAAATGATTGCCTACCAACTAAATTGTTTTTGTTAAGTACCTTTGAGTCAGTTCTGACTCATAGGACTCTGTGTATAGGGTTTCAAAGGAGCAGCTGGTTGGGTTTGAACTTCCAACCAACTAAATGGTGGTGGTGTGGTGGTGGTGGTTAGGTGCTGTGGAGTTGGTTCTGAATCATAGAGACCCTGTATAGGGTTTCTGAGGCTGTAAATTTTCACTGGAGCAGAAAGCCACATCTTTCTGCCACAGAACCACTGGTAGTTTCAAACTGCTGACTGTGTAATTAGCAGCCTGATTGTAACCACTACATTACCAGAGCAAATTAACCAACTAAGTTGTTACTGTTAAGTGCCATTGAGTCAGTTCTGACCCATAACGACCCTGTATAGGGTTTCCTAGGAGCGGCTGGTGAACTTGAACCACTGACCTTGCAATTTAAACCAACTTTGCAGTCAAGCTCCTTAACCCACAGCACAACACCAGAACTCCAACCTGTTAAATGTTGTTATTGTTAAATGCCATCTAGTCGATTCCTACCCATAGCAACACTTTATAGGGTTTCCAAGGAGTGGCTGGTGAGCTTGAACCATAGACATTGAGGTTCAAATGACTTTGCAGTCCAGCGCATTAACCCACAGTGCCACACCAGGACACATTTAAATTGACAGTGAACTTTTGTTATTCAAAAGAATTAGGATTATTCCTATTCCATTGAGAAAGATTATCTGAAAAAAAAAAAAATCAGTTGAAAGACATATTTGTGTTATATTCTATTTTTTGACAATCTACTAATATTCTAATTGTTGGATTTTAACTTTTAAGTCAGAAATTCTGATATAGTGTGAAATGATCTCTTTTAGCTATTGTGTGACATACTATTTACCTTTCAAAATCTACTTCTTTATTAGACCTAGTTGTTGTTGTTGTTGTTGTGGTTAAGTACCGTGGAGTCAGTTCTGACTCATAGTGGCCCTGCACAGGGCTTCCGAGGCTGTAAATCTTTACGGGAGCAGAACGCCTCATCTTTCTCTTGTGGAACTGCTGGGAGTTTCGAACTGCCGACCTTGAGGTTAGCAGCCCGATTTGTAACCACTGTGCTACCAGAGCTTAGGTGCCATCAAGTCGGTACCGACCCATAGCGACCCTAAGCACAACAGAACGAAACACTGCCTGGTCCTGGGCCAGCCTCGTAGTTGTTGCCATGCTTGAGCCAATTGATGCTGCCACTTTGCCAATCCATCTCGCTGGGGGTCTTCTTCTTTTTCTCTGACCCTTCACCTTACCAAACACAGTATCCTTCTTCAGTGACTGGCCCCTTCTGACAATATGTCCAAAGTATGAGAGATGAAGTTTGGCCATCCTGGCCTCCAAGGGGCATTCTGGCTGCACTTCTTCCAACACAGATCTGTTAGTTCTTTTGGCAGCCCATGACACTTTCAATATTCTCTTCCAACACCATAACTCAAAAGTATCAATTCTTCTGTCATCATTCTTATTCACTGTCCAGCTTCCGCATGCATATGAGGTGATTGAAAATACCTCATGGCTTGGATCAGGTGCATCTTAGTCCTCAAGCTGACATCTTTGCTCTTCAACACTTAAAAAAGGTCTTGCGTGGCAGATTTGCCTAATGCAATACATCTTTTGCCATGAGTGTTGATAGTTGATCCAAAATGAATGAAGTCCTTGACAACTTCAATCTTTTCTCCATTGATAAGAATATTGTTTATTGGTCCAGTGGTAAGGATTTGTTTAAATCTAGTAGAATACATTAAGTTATTTTAGTTATTAATTTTCAGTTTCTTGCTTAACTTTCGTTTTTGTCTAAGAATCAGTTGACATGAAATGTATATGTACTTTCCTTTTAGAGTATCTTGGATAAAGGATATTGTCGTGGCAGTAACTAGAGAGAACATGGATAAAATGGAGGGTATTATCCAGAGGTACCAGCATAAACGCATTTCTCTAGTTGAATCTGGAGTGACCCGCCATAGATCAATTTTCAATGGACTAAAAGCACTGACAGAGAATGGATCCAACACTAAACCCTCTAAGCCAGAAGTAGTGATTATCCACGATGCTGTAAGACCATTTGTTGAGGAAGATGTTCTGCTAAAAGTCGTCACAGCTGCTAAAGAACATGGGGTAAGCATTTAATACTTCTGAGAATGGGTAAAAGGGACAGATGCTATAGTGTGGTTCATTTGCTAAGTTTTGATGGAATAATATTTAAATGTCAGATTATTTAAAATGGACATGATGACCTAAAAATATTATGAGAATTGGGAAATTTCTTTAAGAAAATTTCTAGTTTTATAGGTAGTAGTATTGTTCTGGAATTTGACTTTTGCATGGCTATGAGTTGGAACCGACTTGACAGCACTTAACTATAGACATTTATTATCAAAATATGATATAAGCTATTTAGAGAAGAATAAACTAATAATTTCATTAGAATATTTATATGAATGGATATTAAATGTTAATTATGCAGTTAATTATGCAGTTATGTATAGGATTCAATTGTGATTTTGCTCTTGAGTGCCTCAAGTCAGTTCTGACTCATAGCTAGTTTCCTTGGAAACTTATATGGTTTCCAAGGAAAGGCTGATGGGTTTGAACTGCTGACCTTGCAGTTAACAGTCCAGGGTTTATCTTACAGTGCCACACCAGGAGTCCATGGAATTCAATCATATTATGCATATTACATAAATCTAACCAAAATACATTGTAATGAAATTTGTATACTTTTCTGATTATGTTACAAATCTGTTTCAAAGCACAAGTTTTAAAAACTTTTTATTGAAACTATGAGTAAATATTCAAAACCTCTTCTAGAAATATTGCCTTGTTTTTTGTAGTATTTAAGGATACTTAAAAAAAAATAAGTAAAATCATAAATATTTCCTATAAAGATAAAATGAGTATGTGTTAAATATTTTAATTCATTATAAAGAAAGCAGACAAATGTTGCAACTGTTTCAAACAGAATCTAAGAAGCATTACTTAGAGCAAAGGAATGCTAAAATGAATTCATAAATAAACTTTTATAAGTCTTTCTTTTACTATGGGAGTAGGGACAGAATTATTTGAATCTCCATTGGACAGATTTTGTTTGTAGGTAGGAATTATTTGCATTGTAATCAGTCTTTATGATTTACAGTGGTGCGAAAGATGTCAAAGACAATTAAAGACTAGATTCACTTATCCTGGAAGTTGGCTCTAAACAATTTATAGTTTTTCATTGGAGGCATCAGTAGTCTTTTATGTTTATTCTAAATTCTCTTAGAATAGTTAAGATTGTGACTCAATAGCTTCAGTAAATGCAGATATTACTTCCTGCCAACTCTTTTACTCTGTTCTGAACTGTAAACAACAACAAAAAACCACAAAAAAACAAAAACCATAAATGCAACTAATCAAGTTGAGATTCTTCAATTTTGGGAACTTATTGGTATCTTTAATCTCCTCTCAATAAATTTCAGAATAATACTGGTCTGAATCAAATTCCACCTTAAGGCATGATCATTCAGATGACTTTGGTTAGTCAGAATCAATTTGCAGACTGTTTTCCATGGTTTCTTTTAACTCATTTCTCTTTGTTCCCTTACATTGTTTTCTACAAACTCATTACCTCATTCTCTCTTGTTTTCTTAGCTCTTAATTTTCAAGCCCTACCCAATAATCCTTTCAGAAAAATCATTTCCTGAATAAGTTAAGATACTGTGGATCCCTTTCTATTTTGATTTAGAAATGAAAATAAAACAAAACCCCAAACTAAATTGGTGAAAATATACTGGCTTCAAAGACTTAGATGTTTAAAGTTAGAGCTAGCATTAGGGTTGCCAGAGTGTTATTATTGTTAGGTGCTTTTGAATTGGTTCAGAATCAGAGCAACTCTGTGTACAACAGAACAAAACACTGCCTAGTTATATACCAACCTCAGAATTGTTGCCATTTGATACCATTCTTACAGACACTGTGTCAGCTCATCTCATTGAGGGTCTTCCTTTTTTTTTGGCTGACCCTCTACTTTACCAAGCATTATGTTTGTCCTGATAACACACCCAAAATATTTGAGATGAATTTATTTTGTGGCACTGTAGGGTAAGCACTGAACCGTAAGGTCAGTTTGAACTGCAAGGTTGTCGGTTCAAATTTATCAGCTGCTCCTCAGCAAACTTATACAGTGTCGCTATGAGTGAGACCTTACTCTATGGCATTTAACAACAACAACACCACATTGTGAATTGAATGAAGGTTTACAGATAAGATCATCCATTTTATATTCAACAAATTATATACTTTTGTGTATATGACTGCAATCCCCTCCCTGCAACAAGGGCTATCCCACTTCCTCCCTGTGGTTCCTGTTTCCATTCCACCAACCTTCCCATCCCTTCTCAACTTGATACTTAGGTAAATGATTCCCTTTGATTTTGAATGATAGACCATTCCATAGTGAGCAACAACCTAGTGTTGTTGTCAACCCTATACACCTATCTAGTGCTTAGCTGAGAATTGGGCCATGAGGGTGCATTTCTTTCCAGACCTGAAGGTTGACTGAGGGACACAGTCTCAGGTTCCCCCAGTCTCTTTCTGACTGGTAAACCTGGTCTTTTTTAAAACTTTTTTTTTGTTAATAAGTTTGTGTTTTGTTCCATTTTTTCTTCTACTCTATCCAGGACCTTCGAGTTTGATCCCTTTCAGAGTCTTCCTTCAGTCCTGATGTTAGTGATTATTTATATAGTCTAGCCTCTCAGGTTATTTGCTCAACATGGTTGTAGTTGTGTGCCATCGACTTGGTTCAGATGTGTAGAGATTCTGTATAGGGTTTCCAAGGCTGTAAATCTTTACAGGATCTGATAGCCTCGTCTTTCTCCCTCAAGGTGGGTGGTAGATTCAAATGGCTGACCTTTCAGTTAGCAGCCCACCTCATAACCCACTACACTAGCATACAGATTGAATAAGTACGGTAAGAAGATATAAACCCTGGTTTAAAATCCCACAATATCCCCTTGTTGTGGTTGAATGACTGTCTCTTGGTCTATGTACAAGTTCAACATGAGTACAATGGAATGTTCTGGAATTCCCATTCTTCACAGTGTTATCCATAATTTACTATTATCCACATAGTCAAATACTTTTGCATGATCATAATCAATAAAACACAGGAAAACCTCTTTCTGGCATTCTCTGCTTTTAGCCAAGATTCATCTGACATCAGCAATTATATCTCTTATTCTAGTTCCTCTTCTTAATCCGCCTTGAAATCTTGGCAGATTCGTGTTGATGAACTGCTGCACTAGTTTTGAATTTTCTTCAGCAAAACTTTACTTGTTTGTGGTATTAATGATATTTTTCAATAATTTCTGCATTCAGTTGAATCATTTTTCTTTGTAATGGACACAAATATGGAACTCTGCCAGTGTGTTGGCCAGCTAGCTGTCTTCCAAATTTCTTGGCAGAAACAAGTAAGTGCTTCCAGTGATGCATCTAGTTTTCTGTCAACTCCTGGAGCTTTGCTTTTCACCAGGGCCTTCACTGCAGCTTTGACATCTTCCTTCAATATGAGCAATTCTAGATCATATGCTGTCTTCTGAAGTGGTTGATTGTTGGTCAGTTCTTTTTGATACAGTGTATTCCTGCCATGTTTCCTAGATGCCTCTTGTGTCATTCAATATTTTGCCTATAGAGTCCTTCAGTATTGCACCTCGAGGCTTGAATTTTTTTTTTTTTTTTCCAGTTCTTTCAGCTTGAGAAGTGCTAAGTAAGTGTCTTCTTCCCTTTGGTTTTCTTACTCAAAGTGTTTGCCCATTTCATTATAATACTTTGTCTTCTTGAACTGCCCTTTATGTCATCATTAATTCCTTTTGCTTTTATGTTTAAGAGCAAGTTTCAGAGTGCTTTGGGATAACCATTCTGGTCTTTTTTTTCCTGTTTGTCTTTTTAATGACCATTTGCTTTCTTTGTGTATGATGCCCTTGTCATGCTGCAATTCTTCTCTTGTTCAGTCATTGATGTTCAATGTGATGATCTATTCTTGAGATGATCTCTAAATTCAGGTGGGATTTACTCTAGGTCATACTTTGACTCTCATGGACTTGTTTTAATGTTCTCTAGCTTCAGTTTGAATCTGCATGTAAGCAATTGGTGGTCTGTTCTGCTATCAACCCCTGGCCTTGTTCTCATTGATTATACTGAATTATGAATTGTCAATTTCTACAGATATAGTCCATTTGATTCTTGTCTATTCCATTTGGCAAGGTCCACATTTATAATTACTGGTTATTTTGTTGGAAAAATGTATTTGTAATAAATAGCTGTATGCCTGCATAGGGAAGCTCAAAAGTGTCACCAAGACCCACTGTTTTCTCTCTGGTGTATATCCTATTTTTTGGCCTCCATAGAGTCAAGATGGCTTCAACAGTTCTATCTTTTCAAGGTTAGGTATAAAATTCTAAATATACAGTTGTTTTTCACAGTACTTTGAAAATATTTTATGATACACTCTCCGAGTCTTTATGTTGCTTTTGAGAAAATTGCTTATCAGCAGAATTGTTTAACCAGTAGAATTGAAAGTTACCAGCCTTTTCTTTCTGGTTGCCTACAGGATGATTTAGGTCAGCAGTTCGAAACTATCAGCTGTTCCGCATAAGAAAGATGAGGCTTTCTGCTCCCATAAAGATTTACAGCCTTGGAAACCCTGTACAGGGTCACTATGAGTCGGAACCGATTCCACGACACATCACAACAACAGGATGATTTATTTTTTAATAGATATTGTGCAATGTCTTTTTGATGAGACTTGGTAATTCCATTTGCTTTGAACACTGAGCTTCCCAAATTTTATGATTCAATTTTTTAAAAGAATAATTCTAGAAAATTCTGAACTTATCTTATTGAGTAAAGAAATAGGAGGTCCTTGGTGACACAAACAATTAAACTCTGGACTATTAACTGAAAGGTTGGTGGTTTCAACCCATGCAGAGATGCATCTGAAAGATCTGGCAACTGAGCTGCTTCTGAAAGGTCACAGCCTTGATAATCCTATGGAACTAGGTTAAACTCTGCACACATACGATTATCTTGAGTTGGAACCTACTTGACAGAAACTGGTTTGATATGTCTTTGAATACTGACTG